GTGGTGTCTGTTTGTATCCTTTACCCATTTTTTGAGTTGTATTGTTTGTCTTCTTGATGTTGATGTGTTGAAGTTTTCTATACATTCTGGAGATAAGTTCTTTGTTGGATATATTTGTAATTGCCAAATATTTTTTCCCCAATCTTTTTACTCTTTTGGAGAAATCTTTCAATGTGCACAAGAATTTAACTTTCAGAAGGTCCCAATCATCTAGTTTATCTTCTGCTTCTTTGTGCATTTTAGGTTATGTTCGATAGTCTATTTATGCCATATATTTGTACCCCTAAGTTTGCCCCTATCTTTGATGAACTTTATAGTTTTGGGTTTTATGTTTAGGTCTTTGATCCATTTTGAGTTTGCTTTTGTGTGTGGTGTGAGGTATGGACCTTGTTTCAACTTTCTGCAAATGGAAATCCAGTTTTGCCAGCAGCATTTGTTAAATAGATTATTTCTTCCCCCATTTAATGGTTTTTAGCCCTTTGTCAAAGATCAGTTGTCCATGTTACCATTGTTAGGTGCCGTAGAGTCAGCTCCAACTCATAGCTACCCTATGTACAACAGAAAGAAACACTGTCTGATCCTGTGATAGGTGGATGGATCTATTTTTGAATTCTCAATTCTGTTCCACTGGTCTATTTGTCTATTGTACCAATACCAGGCTGTTTTGACTACTATGGATGTATGCTAGGTTTTGAGATCAGAGTGTGAGACTCCTTATTTTGTCTTTTTCAGTAGTGCTGTGCTTATTTGAGCTCTGTTTCCTCTATATATGAAATAAGTGATTATTTTTTCCATGTTCTTAAAGAATAGTATTGGAATCTGGATTGAAATTACATTGAATCTGTAGATAGCTTTGGGTAGTACTGACATTTTCACAATCTTCAGTCTTCCTATCCATGAGCATGGCACATTCTTCCATTTATATAGGTTTTGTATAGTTTCTTGTAGCAGTGTTTTGTATTTTTCTCTGTATAGGTCTTTTGTGCCCCTGGTAAGATTTATTCTTAAGTATTTTATCTTTTTAGTAGTTATTGTAAATGATATTGCTTTCCTTATTTCCTTTTCAGAGATTTCTTTGTTGATGTAGAAGAATCCAACTGATCTTTGTATGCTGATCTTGTATCTGCCACACTGCTAAATCTATCAACTAGTGACAGTAGTTTTCTTGCTTAGTTTCTTGGGTTTTCTATGTGTAGGATGTCACCTGCAAATAGCGATACTTTTATTCCATTTTTGCCTATTTGGATGCC